TTTAATTAACATTGATAAGATATACAATTTAATTATATATATTATATTACATTATATTATATTATGTATATGCGGTTTATTTATTTGAAGAAAATCATTTACAATTAGTCAAAAAAATCTTGTTATTCAAAAAATTCAAAAAATAACTACTATAATAAAATCTAATAAATTATTCTATATAAAAAATTAAATGATTTAAATAGATTATGATAAACAATATTTTCCTACTTGTATATATATCCTATGTAATTTATTTTCTTAAAATTTGTGACGGAAACAAATTCCATTGCTAATTTCTGACGGAATTGTGACGGAATTTCCGTCGCTAATTTTTTTGATGGATTAGCGACGGAATTAGCGATGGAATTGTTTCACAGAAAAAGATTCCATCGCTAAATACGGATTAGCGACGGAATTTAGCGACGGACAGAAATTCCGTCGCTAATCCCTCAAAAAAATTAGCGACGGAATTTCCATCGCTAATTTGCAACGGAGTTTGTTTCTGTCACTAATCAACTGTTTTTTTTGTAGTGTATGTGTATATAAATATATAAGTTTGAATGATGCTTACTTCTTCCTGTTGTGATCATTATAACTAGTTTGGGGGAATGTCTTTGAATCTGCGAAAATTTTTTTTCCCTGATTTGTCATTATGTGGGGCGTGATATAGAGAGGGAAGGAGGTAGTTAAAGCTCATATAGAATGTATATGCATACAAAGTAGCAACATATAATTCACATAGGAATTTGCATATTGGATATATTTTATATATGTGGTCCATGAATTTGAATGTTGAGGAAGCTAATATTTGTCGAAGATTGTCTTGTGGGCTACTAATAAGTAGGCATGGGAGGTTCCCAAATGATTAATGGGTAACTTAGAAAATTAAATCTTATTTAGAAGAGACGTTGTCGTAAGTTCTTTAAGCTTTTGAAAGGAGGAGTTACTTGTTTTAAGATGAAGATATAACAAGATAGTGTTGAATAGATTAACGAATGGAACTCTTTCTTAGCTGAACAGAGATGTACTTGAGGACTTAAAAATGTTGATTTAAGTGTTAAACTGGAATGGGAAAGGTGATGCCAAAATCTGGAAAAAGATTTCCATAAATCATATTAAGGCCGTGAGAAGCAATGGCTAGGATTGAGAGTTATTAAATGAAGGTTGGGGTATTATCCTTCAATCTGGAACATTATTCCAGATGTAACTGAAAGGATGTAAGGGGTTAAAAGATTAAGAATGGTTTATAATTAGTTATGAAGATTGGGCTTAGTGTTTCCAGACTAAAATGGACATGACCATGATGAATTTAGAATTTTTAAAGAAAGATTGTTGGACGTGAGTTAAAAGAATCTGGAGTTCAAGTGTTGAAATGATGTTGTTTAGATTGAAAAAGTACAGTAAGAAATTAAATAAGTTAAGCAAATTTCAGAAACAAGCAAGAAGTATTGAAATAATGATTTAAACATTAACATAGGTGCTTAAATGATAGGATAATAGAAATAGTATAAACATATACACACACACACAAACATATACACACTTATGTGCGTCTCTCGGCCAAGACTGTAAAAGAAGTAAAGCTGAATTTTAATTGATTTGGTTTTAATGAGATCAGAATAATTGAAGTAAGGAGGGACAAATTGTCTGTCCTCAAATATAATAGATAAAACGTTATGTTTTTGACTAAGATGACCAGTTACCAAATAAGGTAAGTGATTTACGTATGAAGAGAAGGGAAAACATTTTGAAAGACATATCATATATATGAAAAATTGTTTAGGACGGTCAACTACTAAGTAAGGGAAGAAATTAAAAAAGATTTGAAATTAAGGAGAGGTATTTAATTTATGAATTAGGATTGGACCGAGCATTGATCTATCCTTACAAATATGATATGTTTTGATATTTGCTCAAACCCACAAAGGAAATAAAAGAAGAAGAAATTTGTAAGGTTTGGTTTAGTGACCAAGTAGTAGGTCTTTCCTACCTTGCACTTGTGTATGATTGTTGCATGTCTAGTTGTGCCATAATGCTGTTTAATTCCTTGCATGGATTATTTAGTTGTGATCATGTGTAGCTCATAGACATGGAGCATTATGGCCAATTATTTATGCATTATTTATTCAGCTAATTAACCTATTTGTCGTTGTGCATAAATGCTTAACTGCATTAGCTTGCAAGATTATGTTCCACTTTGGCTTGTTTTACATGCTTTGTATAATCTGTGTATTTGTTTGATGGAAATTACTACTACAATGATTCTTTAGAATCTCACCCTCCTATCCCTGTTGAATAGCAAAGGCTGCTAGCTCAAAGGATAAGGAGGTTGTTTAAGAAGACGGTGAGCTGATTTAAGAGTAGGAATGCCTGGTTCTATTTGTATAAATATGTATATTATTTAATTATGTTTATATTATAATTATTAGGGCAAGTAGTATAATTACTTGTTACACACACACACACTTTTGTATCCTCCATAAGGAGGCATACACACTTATGGGTGTAGGTAAGTGCCATCAATCGAAATGGCTGTTATGCTTTAATGTATCTTAAGTAGTTAATATGAGATCTCATGGCATGAAATCATTATAAGTGATAATAGAATAAGTTGAAAGCATGGTGGATTGTAAATCACTCATTAGATTTTCTGAAAGTTTAAATTCTTAGACAATGAAATTCCAATGTTACTTTCAGGTTCAACTCCTGCATTGGAATTCTGTTTTGAAATGATTTATGTTTCGGGAAAAAAAAAATTTTACCAAGTTTTTCCCATACCAGAAACTTGGCGTTTAATAGTTCACATACTTTATAATGACCCTATTAGTATATAGAAAATTAGTTGTTGTAATTTTTGCCATTTTGCATGAGAATGTAATTACAATGCGGTCCCAAAGAGTATAAGAGTATTTTCATAAATTCACATGATCTTTTTTGCGTAAATAAGTCTCATTGTTCTGGGAAACAAAAAACAAAAAAAAAGGTTTCATTGGCAATTTTCCCCATTTTATTTTGGATGTGCATATCTGTATTAAAGACCATCATTTTAAATTCCCCCCCCCCCCCAAAAAGAGAGCTATCGAGGCATGAGTCTTTCACGTCCCATTCCCAAGTCAAGCTTTTGGGAGTTCCGCAAGTCCTCTTCGTAAGTTAAGTTTCAATTAAGAATAATTACGACATAATACTGGTTTATCAGGAAAAAAACATTAAAAATTAAAATAGAAAGGGTAGAAAGCAAGATACTCCGCCTTTCAAGACTTTAGCCCCATTTGCTTCACGGATTATCTTTTCAATGAATTACAGCCAGCCAAGACTCTTTGAAATTAAGCTGTAGCGTTGGATTAGCTTTAAAAAAATTATTTTTTATCACATGAAATAAATATATAAGAAGAATTTTATCTTGTAAAACATAAAAGTGATTATTTTCACCAACAATATTAATATTTCCATCTAACCTTCTTCTCACTAGCTCTTTTTTTTTTTTTTTTGAGTCCTACCCTACTCCAGAGTCTCATCTTGCATGGAGTTAAGTCTAACAGAATGAGCTAATTTCTTACAACGTGATGAAATAAGGAATAAAAGAGTGTTTGATTCACATGAACATGCCCATATCATTGTAATCTTAATTCAATATAAATTAGTCCTTATAATTTTGATTCAGTTAAAATTAAGTCCCTAAATTTTTAAATCGTTTAAATTTAAATCCTTCCATTTAAAAGGATAAAAATACAGGAAATAAAGATGGCTGAAATAGACAAATTATAAACAGGGACCTATTGCAACATTACTATAGGTTTTGATAATAATAGTATAGGTTTTAACAATAATTTTTATGGACGGATCTTTGTCTGTAATTTTTAATTTTGGTGGTCTTTTTTTTATGATTTTTCCGATAAAGTATTTTTTGAATGTCAAGATATCACACTATAATCCAATAATAAAAAAAAAAACGATATCATACTATAATAACATAATTATACCAATGATATCTTACATCTTCTTGTGTAATTAGGAAGGAGCAATGGTACTTATAACACTACTTTGAAATTAGAAACACGCCTTATTAAAAGGTTAAATTTTCAACCAATGGCATCTTATCTCTCCCTATGTAATTCATAATTAAACGTCTAATTGAGGGTACTTTTTAAAATTTGTAATGATTTTCTAAAATTTGTAAATTAAAGCTTTTTTTAGCCCATTTCATTTTGCCCAGACTCGGGTTTACTTTTCATTTCTTATTTTGAGTCTTGAATAGCGTCTTGGAACAACCCATAAAAATCTTGCTTAAAAAATATAATCAGTGGCTTACTCTATCTATATGCATCAACATATTAAAATTAATGGGTTAAAGCCTTCTAACGTAGAGGCCCAACTTCAATCTTCATCTTGTGTAGATCAAAACATGAGTGGATTTGGTGATGATGCCCAGGCTATGACGGATCAGATTTCTTCTAAAAGGGATGTGGTACTCAATTCCATTAGGGAGTATTCCACAGATGGAGACGTTTTGATGGGTGGACCTCATGAAAATACGGTTCAGGGTAGTTTATAATTATTGTGGATATTGTCCGGGGAAGGGTCATCGAAGCTTCTCAAAATCAATTAAATGTTTCCCTATAAACTACATGATATGGAATTCTCGGGGTACAGGCACGCAGACTTTTCCCAGTCTTGTACAAGAATTCAAAAAACATTTTTGTTTGGATTTTCTTGCTATAGTTGAGACTCGTTTAAATAAACAACTTACAAAAAAGAGAATTAGTAGTCTTGGGTTCCAAGATTATGCTTTTATTGAAGCTGAAGGTTTTAGCAGTGGTATTTGGTGCTTATGGAATGTGGGGGTCAATAAAGTGGAAGTTGTTGAGCGGCACCGCCAATATATGCCTTTATCCATTGAGAATACTAGACATGAGCAGTGGTACATGACTGTGATTTATGCAAGCCCACATTTAGTGGCTTGACGCAATTTGCGGACTGAGCTCCTTCATTTGGAACGTGACATGTATGACCCTTGGGTGTTGGGGGGTGACTTCAATGCTGCGTTGTATACTACAGAAAGACGCTCTAATGCTAAACATGGTATTTCGATTGATAGAGATTTTTGTAGATGGTTTGAAGAATCTTGCATCTCGGATCTTGGTTTTGTGGGGCCATGTTTTACTTGGAAGAGGAGTAACTCCGAAGCCCGGCTAGATCATTTTCTTGCTAATGATGCTTGGTGCCAACTTTTTCCTAATGCGAGAGTTTCCCATCTTTCTTTTTATAAATTTGATCATCGCCCTATCCTCCTTCAACTTGATCATTGCGCTGAGAGCCCTTGCCGACCGTTCCGCTTCATTGCAGCATGGGTTCTGCATGAAGACTTTAACAGTTTTGTCCTTGATAATTGGAATGATGGAATTGGGTGGAGTAATAATCTGAACCATTTTCAACAGCCTATTGCACTTGGAATAAGCAGGTATTTGGGCACGTTGAAGGTAGAAAAAAGAAACTGTTAAGACACATGGATGTTGTGAACAAAGCAATTGATAGAGACTGGAATGTGCGTTATTATGAAGATATCCAGATTGAGTTATGGAAGGAATTTGAGGATGTTCTAGCTCAGGAATCTCTATTGTGGGCCCAGAAAGTGAAGATGGATTGGAACATTTATGGAGATAGGAACACTAAACTCTTTCATTCTCGTGCTAATGGACGTCAGAAGGCAAATAGGGTTGACGCCGTTCGCTTAGAGGAGGGGGATTGGTGTTATGATCTTGAAGTCATTAAACATGAAGCCACGTCCAACTTTGCTTTGTTGTTTACAGAGGAGTTGCCTAACAAAGAGGAGCTATCTTGCAGTATTACTTACCCTTCTATGGATGAGGTTTGCTTATAGATTTGTGATCAAAAGGATGATGAGCTTGAAATCAAAGAGGCAATTTTTAGCCTAGGATCTTTGAAATCTCCCGGGCAAGATGGGTTTAATGGTCTTTTCTACCAAACTTAGTGGGACACTGTTGGAAAGTCTCTTGTTAGTTTTGTTAAGCGCATCTTTGATAATCCTTAGGAAGTTAGGGAGATTAATGGAACCTTAGTGGTGCTGATCCCTAAAAAAGATCCTCCTGAAACTTGTAAGGATTTGAGACTCATTAGTTTGTGCAATGTTGTCTATAAGGTGATTACTAAAATCGTGGCTACTAGAATGAAGACCATTTTACCACAAGTAATTTCTCCAAATCAGTGTGGTTTTGTGCCAGGTTGACATGGATCTGATAATATCATAGTGGCACAGGAAGTTATTCATTAATTCAATAAGAAATATGACGGGGAAAAAGGGCTACATGGCTATTAAAATTGATCTCGAAAAGGCCAATGATAGAGTCAATTGGCAATTTTTGAACCATTATTTGAAGGAGTTGAACCTCCTTTCTATCCTCACTGAAGTTATTGATTATTGCGTTAAAACAGCCGAGCTACAATTATTGTGGAATGGCAATAAGGCATATTCATTTAACTCTTCTAGAAGGGTTCAACAAGGAGATCCAGTGTCACCATATCTGTTTGTGATTTGCATGGAGAAGCTTACGCACCTTATCCAAGAAAAAATGCGTAATGATGAATGGAGACCAATTTGGCAAACAAAAAATGGGCCACCTATTTCCCGCTTGTTCTTTGCAAATGATATCATCGTATTTGTGGAAGCGTCTCTACAACAAGCAAAGTTGATTAAACAATGTCTAGACATTTTCTGCAATTGTTCCGGTCTCAAGGTAAACTTTTCTAAAACCCGTGTGTTTTTTTCCCCCTAATATCAATCATAACAGATGTACAGAAATTAGCATCTAGATGGGATTTACACAAACAACAGATTTGGGAAAATATTTGGGTGTACCTCTTCACCATAAGAGAGTAAGCAAGGATACTTACAAGCAGGTCGTTGACAAGGTTAAACAGCATTTGGTCAAATGGAAGAAGCTCTACTCTAATCTCTTTAGTGACATCAGGAATCCCAAGTTACACCATGCAAACATCTTTGCTCACAACTACCTCTTGTGAGACTCTTGACAAGCTCAATAGGAGCTTTCTTTAGGGAAATACAGATGATCAGAAAAAGATTTTGTTGGTTGCTTGGGATGCAGTTTGCAAGCCGAAATCAAAAGGAGGACTCGGACTAAGACATGCTACATTTCAAAATCATGCTCATCTAATGAGGCTCCGCTGGAAACTGGTTAATTGTCGTGATGATCTCTGGGTCAAAGTTGTTCGCGATAAATACTGATGTGGTAATGATCTTATCCCCAAGATTGATTCTATGCGGGGTGGATCCAATGTCTGGTTGGGGATAGAGAAGACATGGAAGAAGGTAAAAGAAGGAGTAGAAGTTTCTGCCAATGGAACCACTGCAAGATGGAAACATGAACGTAGCTGATTGTTTTCAGTCAAGTAAGCTTAGGACCTTCTGTCAATCGTTGGTATGGAGTCGGATTCGCTTTGGGAGAAAATATGGAAGCTGCGTGTCCTCCAACGTTGTAGATCGATGATGTAGCTGCTTGTTCGTGAAAGCCTTTTACCGAATTCAGAAGGAGAGTTCATACAAGGATTCATGCATAATTTGGACCATGGAGACGCACTTCATGTGGAGCTTTGGGGGTGCTTACATGGATTGAAGCTTGATTGGGATTGTGGTTACCGCAAAATTATATTAGAGTCTGATTCAAGCAGTGCCATTGACCTTATTATAGCTGGTCTTGAGGAACATCATTATGACCACAGTCTCATTAATGAAATCCGTTCGTTGATGAGTAGGGATTGGGAGGTGAATATTGCTTACGTGAACAGAGAATGTAATAAAGCTGGACTTCTTTGCGAAACAAGGGCTTGCTGCTGTGAATGGATTACATGCAGTTGTTACTGTCCCGATGGAGCTGTCTTCTATTTTGGTTGCTGATCGCTATGCTATGACAAGTGATCATGTAGACTTTGGTTAAGGATTTCATGTTGTTATATATATTTAAAAAAAAAAAGGGTTAAAGGAAAATACATTATAGGCTGATTTTAGGTCATTGACGTGTTCAATTTTCAGTTGTATTGTTTGTGGTTGGCAAAAGAAAAAAAAAATTGTATGCTTGTGATTTTTTATTTTCTTATCTTAAAATAAAACGCAAATAGTTGGGACTTGTGGTACTAAACACCTTCAAAACCTTTTAAATGTAAAATTGTGAGCTTCAACTTTTTGTGAGGGGTATAAGAATGTCAAAATGAAAAAGAACACGAATTAATATTAGATATACAAAACTAATTTAACAAGGCACCACAACATAATTAGTATGGATGTTATTAAAAAAAAATTATTAGGGAAAATTCCAGGAAAAAATCCTGAAATTAATATTTTCTAATTCAAGTACCTAATACTTCAAATGACAAAGAAGGAAGTAAGCTCAAATTGAAATTTCAAAATTCAAGGGAAATAACAAAAATATCCCTTTGTTAATCCCATTGAAAAAAGGTGTTGTTAATCCTAAATCAAGACCTGTAATTTCACAATTAGGACTTGTTATTCCCTAATAAATTATGGTCATTTTTAATTAGTTCACATGTTATTTCACATGTCATATATCAGGGGAAAAAAACATGTTAATTCCAAATTGAACTTTGTAATTTTACAATCAAGACTTATTATTCTTAGATGAATTGTTGTCATTTTTAATTGATTAACATATTGTGCATCAAAAAAAAGTGCTGCTAGTCCCAAATTGAGACTTATTATTTTACAATTAAGATTGTTATCCCTGATGAATTTTTATTTACAAAGGAACATTTTTGTCATTTCTCTTAAATTTGAAAATTCTAATTTGGGTTTACTCCATTCTCCGTTGTTCCGAAATGTTAGGTGTTTTGAGTTGAAAAATACTGATTTCAGTATTCTTTTTTTAAAATTTGCCCCAATTAATAATCTCAGCTAAATTAAGAATGAGGAAGTACTGATTTGACACCTTGGGTTAAATCAAAAAATAAAACCAAATTATACACTAAAACACAACTCAAGTCGTGTCTTTTGAGGAGTTTTTTTATTAATTCCAAAGTTAACTAAGTGACAAAAGAATTGAAAAGGAGGGGTTTGAAAAGGGATTTGATTTTTTTTTCTAAAACTGATTATCAAAATAAAGAAATAAATCTAAACTACTTTTTTTTTAAATTTTAATAAAGAGAGAATGAAAAAAAAGCAAATTTGAATTATAAGAAATCAATAATGAGAATGCTCTTAGGGAATGAATCAATGACTATCCTAATTTGTTTAATGATATGTGAGTAACTCAAGTGATTAGAATTGGTTTAGAGAAGTTATTCCTTTTAAATTAATGTTCAACTAGAACATTAATTACTTGTTAAATTCACTTTAAGCATAATCTCTATACAACTTGCGTAAAAATCATACTAACAATGAATTAATAAAGGCATAAACATAATATATGTGTAAATCAAGTACTCAAACTCCAAATAACCGATCCAAATCTTAACAATTTCAATCCAAACTAAGAATTACAACTAGCAATTCCTAGTTTTAAACCAAATATAACTAACTTCAAACCAGAAATCATCAATAAAATAGTCTAAGGGTGTGTTTGGATGAAACCAAACCGTGGTTTGGAAAAGTGATTCTGGAGAATAGATTCTGGAAAAAATAGATTCTGTGAAGAATAGATTTTGTAAAAAAGTGATTCTGAGAAGTGAGAGTGTTTGGATAGTTGTTATCAGAAGCACTTTTTATATATACAAATTACTAAAAAAAGATATAAGTTAATATGATAATTACAGAAAAAATAGATTTTATGATATATTTTAATTTGAAGAAATAAAATTGTTAATAATATGTTTTTTACCAACATAATTAATAATACATAAGATAATATAATTAATAAATAATTAATGTCTATATATATTTATAAAATATAAGATTAAATATATTTATAAAAAATATGTTTATAAAAAAAATAACAAGATACATATCATATAGGCCCTCACACTCTCCCTTTTTTCTCGAAAAGCAAAAAAATTTTGCTTTTTCCAAAACCATGGTTTTGGTTTTTGGAGAGGCTGTTTGGGTAGCATTTTCCCCAAACCATGGTTTGGGGTGCTATCCAAACAAAGCCTAAACTAAGGACTAGAATTAAACTCTCATTTGTAGCTCCCAAATTCAAGCCATTGAATTCAATCCCAGAGAGCATAGCGAACTCAGCCTCTCATAGCTCTGAACCCAGTCAAAACACGTCCCAAGAATTCAGCGGCCATGGGCGATGATGATGTTGGTGGCGATGATACGTGGGGTGTCGTTGATGGAGGGGAATAAAGATGAATTGGGAAGATTGAAATTGAAGTGTTGCGGCGTGTGTGCGCGGCGTTTTTCAGTGGTGGTGTGCGTGCGGCCCCGATCTCCGTTCTCCTCATGCATATATAAATATATATATATATATCACAATAACCTAATCCTATGATGGCCATACCGTAGGTAGCATATCTTGTTCCCCCCCCTTTTTCCTTTTAAATTCTTCCCTTTATTGTTTATTTCCTTTTTGTGATGTCTGCAAAAGATAAATTGAGATACCATGATAAAGCCTAAAATCAATTATTTAAAAGAAGATAAAAATATGATAAGATTTCCTATTAAATCTCTAATTTCATGCAATCAGTATTTAATTCAAAATATCCACAATCAATGTAAATTATCTCATTATAATTGATAAATATCACTAAAAAGATATCAAATAATATACTAAAACAGGGATTTATCAAGTACTATACGAGAGGTGCTCAAGGGCCCTTCCAAATAAACCCAAATGCCTTATTTCGATAAAATATTTGAGAGTAGCCCTATGTGTGATATATATATATATATATATATATATATATATCTTCCATAGAAATGGTTATTGGGCTTCTTTTTCCTTCATGTCGAGACACTTGAGAAATGAAGAAAGCATTAATTTTTTTCCTAATCTTCTCTTGCCCGTCAAGCTTAAGAATGGAGCAAGAGTTCATGTGTGGCATATGAATTTGTATATTATACTCATTGCATCTAAAAATTTTAGTATTTATTCTTATTAGATGTATGATGGTCTCATACGAGTAGTGTTTAAAGGATTAATCACAACTATATAAGCATGAATTGAGTCTATCTAAGTAATTTAATTAAGCTGTTATAAGTAAGCATGTATTCCCAGGATGAACTAAGTCAACTTGGCAAACGCAACGAAACTAGACCTTGTAATTTAAATAATCTAGACTTCTCAAAACCCAAAAACCTTGCAAAATCTAATGTTCACATTCGCACATTTCTTATAGAGAACAGAAAACCCTTATAAACTATGTAAATTTTCTCATAAGTTTATTCAATGTTTTGAATTATAATCCTTTTTGTTAAACGAAAAATAAAAGAATCAAATGCAATTTAAATAGCTAAATACAATTGCAATGAAAAAAATGTAAGAAAAAGGAAAATAACTCAAGATATAAAAATGTAGAGACTTCATATATTAATATAACAAACATAGAATTATGGCCATTTTAAGATATGACATGTTTCATAGACAAAGTAAACTAAAGGATAAAAGAAATGGTAACTGAAACTTCCATATAAAGATCATTTAACTAGTGGTGCATCTCTAACATCTTAGGTAAATGTGACCTTATCTTTTTCAATGAGACCACAACATCTGTCATCATAATTCGTGCCTCAGGTAATTCAGTACAACAACTTAATGCCAACTCAAAAATTGATGATATTTGTGGTAATATATTGTTGATATTTGGATCCCCTTCACGTAGCAAATTGACATCTAGAATATTGATAATTGAATGTGGTGTTGATTTGCTAACCCACTCTTTCAAACCAAGACCTTCAACAAACAGTTCATCAGTTGGCTTCTTCCTTGTAAACATCTCCATTAGCATGATACCATAGCTATACACATCTCCCTTGAAAGAAACCGCTCCTTTTGATCCATACTCTATATGTCAAAAGAGAATATAAGGTTTGCCATTAAACTTTTCTTTTATATGGCGAATACAAATCCTCGCTTATAGAAATGGAAAATGCATATCAATGATTGTATAATATAAAATTTCACATAGAATGATAAAAAGCCAACATAATTGAACTAGAAGGTTATTATTAAACCATTACCTGGTGCCATATAGCCAATTGTAGCCATTGTTTTTGTGTAAGTTTCCAATTGTCCTTCACCTAATAGTTTAGCTATACCAAAATCACTAAGATGAGCCACCATATCTTCATCCAACAAAACATTACTTGGTTTTATGTCACAATGAACAATCGGAGTAGAAGTACCATGTTGAAGATACTCTAATGCAACTGCCACATCAACCATTATATTCAATCTTTGTAGGATATCTAAATAGTAGTTATGAGAGTACAACCATCTATCAAGACTTCCATTGGACATGAATTCCATGATTAGAGACTTGAAATGATCATTTGAGCAACTACTAATAATCTTGATGAGATTACGGTGGCGTAAATTGCACATGGCAGTACATTCAATATCAAAACTTCTCAATGCTTCTTCCATGTCTATGTTAAATACTTTGACAGCAACAATCTTTTCATTTAGAACTGCTTTGTATACTGATCCAAAACTTCCAGAGCCAAGAAGATTACTTTCATCATATCCATTTGTTCCCTGTAGAAGCTCATAATAAGATATCCTAGGTGGTGCATCCAAATTTGTTAAATCCCTTCGCGTTGCATAGTTAGCATCATCTCTGTTATGCTTTAGAAAGACAATTCCTATAACAACCAAAATGACAACCATGATAGGTACTAAGCATTTTATAACCAGTATCACTTTATTTAATATGTGCTTGTTTCCTCTCCTACATGGTTGGACTTGTAGTTGGGGTTTTCCACAGAGGTCTTTATTCATCGTAAAAGATTGAGCAGTAAAATTTTGAAAAGGACCACCATTTGGAATTTCTCCATCCAATAAATTGTAGGAAAGATTGATGTATTTAAGATAGAGTAATGACTCTAAGGACTTTGGAATCACACCAGACAAATAATTATGGGAAAGATCCATAGACTCTATGCTTATCATGCTGCTAAATGATTTAGGAATAGACCCTTGTAATTTGTTGTGAGCCAAAGAGAGGGTTAGCAAGTTTTGCAAACCACCCATAGTTGCAGGAATGCTTCTTGAAATTTGGTTTCTTGACAAGTTCAATAGTATAATTGCTCCCAAGTTTGATACCTCTGGTGAAATTGATCCACTCAATGCATTGGAGGATATGTCTAAAATCAAAATATCTTTAAGACTCCAAAGAGAATAGGGCATATGAGAAATCAATTTGTTGAAGCTAAAATTCAAGTTTCGCAAAGAAGTATTCCCGAGACATCTGGGAACCACTCCTGAAAACATGTTGTTAGCAAGATCCAACTCACTTAGACTTTTGAGCAAGCAAAGTTCATCTATAATGGCACCTTGCAATCTGTTGTTGCTGAGACTTAAACGTTGAAGCTTATGTAAGTTTCTGATTGTGTTTGGAATCAACCCATTCAAATCATTCCCATTCAAAGTTAAGTCAAACAAGTTTGTTAAATTTCCAATGACATTGGGTATAGCTCCGTTAAATTTATTCAATGATAAATCTAACCTAATGAGCTTAGAAACATTTGATATGGTGTTTGGAATTTGTCCAATCAGCTCATTTTGAGACAGTAGTAATTGCTCCAAGTTGGGAAGGCCAATCCCTAAATATGATGGGAGAACACCAGAGAGGGAGTTATTGCCAAGGTGTAAGTGTTTCAATGTTGAAATGGAGAATACACTGAAAGGAATAGGTCCGCTCAAATGATTTGATCCCAAATCTAAGACTTCAAGTTTAACAAGACTGCCTATGTCCTTGGGTATAAAACCTGAAAAAAAAAACCTGATCTGTAAAAAGAAACAGAAACAGGTAATAGTGTTTGCAGATAACATGGAAAAATACACCTCTCTTGCTAATCCCAAGACTTTAATATTTGTGGATGTTGAAATGTTGAATATATTAAACGCCTTTCGAATTAAAAGGAGTAAGTCTGACACATTAAGTTTATCGAGTTAGCCTATGCTTTATGTGCAAAACTTGCCCATAAAAAAATTGATGGTAATCATGACTTCCATATAGCCTTGATAAGAAAATAAACAAATAAATTCGTTTTCATCATTTCTCGAGTTTTTGTAAAATTTTTTAAGTAAAAAAATTAAGAAAATCATAAACTACCTTGAGATGCCATGGTCCTAGAAGATTTATTTCAAAGTTACAGTTTCCATGTTGTGATTATTAGATAGTGGTTTAATAGGATATCAATAAATTCGTGAAATAGAAAAGAAACAATTGAAAATTTGACAAAAGAAAATTAAATAGGAAAAGGATGTATTCTTTAAATAAAGTACGAGAAAAAAAGCAGAAAATTGACCACAGAATGTGCTAGTGCGTGTACGTAACATGTGAGCTCATATGTATATATATGATGTTTAGCATTTGTAATGAACAGAGTATAAATCATATGGTACAGAGTACTTAAATATTATATTTTGTGGAAAACAAAATGTCATTTTAAATTTACTCTATTAAAGAAAATGATTAAAGGAAAAAAATAAAAGTAAGACATAATAATATCATGATTGTAAAAGGTTGGCATCCAAATATAACTGAATAGCAACAACTGGTTGTAAAAAGACTGAATAGACTTATAAGAAGAAAACTAAAACAGATCACATTATTTGGAAAGGGAGAAATCAAATTTCTTATAACATCAAATTGCATGCCTTCTAGTAATTGCATGAGAGTCTGTTAAGTTTAACTATATCATTTTTTCGGTGCGTTGCCAATTAATCTGCTTTTTCAGTAATTTATCTCTCCAAGAATTTTGTGTTCATACTTTACTCTACTGGGCTAAAACAGAATTTTTTGCCCATTTAAACAAAAATGAATTTAAATGAAGAAATTTACTTAGTTATTGAACAATTGAAAATATCCCGTATTATTGTTCATCAGTTTGAGTTATATTTAAATTTTTTATATTATAGTTTTTACTTGATTTTTACACTTATTTAAATAAATTTTTTGTTTCAATGATAGAATTATTACCATACATACATATGCGTGCACGTGCACACACAGGCTTCGAATTTGAGTTTACTTTGACATTAAATTTACTCTATTATACAAAAACTATCAAATGTTATGAACAATGATATGTTTAAGAATAATTCTAAAACTGACGTTAAATATATTAAAAAAATTTCAAGTAATATTCATTTCAACCCAAAAGAGTACAATATGGAACAAAATTATTTTTTATTTGTTTAAGTCTTTGTAAAAATTTTGAAATAATAAAAATTAAGAAAATCATAATTAGAATTAGTGTGGAATAACTTATGTATTTTTTTTTAAATTGTTATACTGTAATTGTTGAATAAATATTTAATTTAGAATCAATGAATTCAAAAATAAAAAATATATAAATAGAAGTTAAACAGATAAAGAATTTACTATGGAATAAAGAGAGAGAAGTAGTGCACATGTTGATTTTGGACGCACCCTTGTACGCACACATATGCATGCTGCATACGTTCTCCGTTACGTTGACTTTGTGCACTTTTGTAATTTCATATTTAATAATTATTCAAAAGTTATTATATGAAAAAATTTCATGGCAAAAGCTTTATTTAATTTCACACTTAATTGACCATGGAACGGTTTCTCTTTAAATCCAACTAAATTCAAATGATGAGATTTAATTGCTTGGCTGACTAATAAAAACATGTTGTGTTTTGGTTCTTTAGTATTAGTTTAAATTTGGTTGAAGAAGGTAAGGTTGAAGAGAGGATTGGGGGAGGAAGTGGATTGCAATCAAGTGAGAGAAGAAAGTTGTGTTTTGAAAGTGATCCTATTGAATCGGTGGAGAACAAGCAAACTATCAAAAACAAGAGAGGTAGTGGTAGTACTAATCTAATTAAATGCCAAATGAGAAGGGAAGGTAGGAGAAGAGGAGCAAGGAGTCAAGGAGTTTCTGATTTAGTAGAAATGGAGACAATGGAGAACGTTTTGAGTCAAAATATGATGAATTGTGCTGAAGGTCTTAGTGGCTGGCCTAAAAGCCACTAAGAGGCCATGAAGACCCCAGCATGGAACTGTCAAGGTCTGGGAAGAACCTTAACAATTACGAAGTTAAAGGAGGAATTTTTCAAACACAGACCTTCTATAATCTTCCTAATATGGAAACAAAAATGAAGAAAGCAAAGATTGGTAGAATTAAAGAGATGTGTAGAATGGAGGAGGAATTTTATGTGGAGCCAATGCGAAAGGGAGATGGTTTGGCTCTGTGGTGGATGAGAGATCTGACTGTTAATATTTGTTCAAGCTTGAAGAATTTAATTCATGCTTCTCTGGAGTCTTCAGTGACTCATGTCCCAAAGTATGCAACATTTGTTTGTGGTGCACATCTAGATGGGGGAAATGGGTTGGTTTGGGATGGGATGAGGAGGATAGCTGGAAGGATTAACAAGTCTTGGCTTTCCATTGGATATTTTAATGATGTGGTTTCAAGTAATGAGAAGTGCGGATCATTACCGGTAGATATAAGAAGGGTTTTGAATTTCCAGTGCATGCTTTTAGATTGTCAATTAGTGGATTTGGGTTATCAAGGCTCAAATTTCTCTTGGAGTAATAAGCGGTGAGATGAAGGGCATGTGAAAGAACGAATTTACATAGTAGTTGGAAATATGGATTTTAGGGGTGAATTCCAAAACGCTGTGTTGATTCATGTGGATCCAATGGATTCAGATCATCAGTTGTTAGTTTTTGAATGTGACTATAAATATAACAAAATTCCAAAAGTGTTGAGGTTCAAAGTTTTCTGGGCTGAACATGATGCATTTCTTTCTGTTATAAACAAGGGATGGTGGTCTGAGGGAAATGATAGTAGTTGTGTGGATATGTTGGTGGAAAGTTTGAACAACTGTAGCGAATTGAAGTACGATTAAGTGGGGAAAAAGAGGTTTTTCCTAATGCCAGAAAAGTGGTAGAGCAACTTACTGCTCAGTTAGCTGAATAATATGCTTATGATGGAAGGAAGGACGGAAGCTGAATCTTTACGGAAGCAGTTTGAAGAGGCTTGGGATATGGAAGAGAAGTTTTGGTGGCAGAGATCAAGGGTTAGTTGGCTTCAAACAGGTGACAGAAATTCAAAATTCTTTCATTCTTGTACAATGCAGAGAAGAATGAAGAATAAAGCGCTTAGATTGAGAGGGAATAATGGTAACTGGTTAGAAGAAGAGAAAGAAAGAAATGATGCTTTTGTAGACTTTTACATGAAGCTTTTTGCATTAGAGGGGAGCCGTGACATGGAGGAGGCTCTTTCTCATGTTAACAATGTTGAGTTATGGGAGCAGAACGAAAGATTATAGGCAATGGTCACTGTAGAGGAAATGAAATCTGCTTCTTATAAATTGAATGGCTACAAAACTCTGGATCCTCATGTTATTCAGGTATGTTCTATCAATCTACTTGGGGGTGGTGAGTATGGAAGTGGTTGATATGGTTTGTGATTTTTTTTTTTTTTTTTTCAAAACACTACAAGTTTAAGAAAGTTGAATTGTACAAATGTGGTCCTCCTAGCCAAAGTAGACCATGCTGAGAATGTGGGATAGTTTAGACATATAGGACTTTGCAATTTTGTTTATAAAATTGTTTCAAAGCTCCTGGCAAAATAGGTTGAGGAGACTGTTAATGGGAATTATTTCTGAACATCAAAGAGCACTTGTAGCTAAAAGACTGACTCAAGGTAACACTTTGATAGCCCAGGAAGCTTTCCATTACTTGAAAAATAAAAAGAAGGGAAGAAAAATGTAACACTACAAAAAAATTGACTTTCAGCGGCGACAAAAGTCGCCGCTGAAAGTACAAAAGTCGCGCCGAAAGTTTTTTGCGGCGACAAGTCGCCGCTGAAAAGTCGTTGCCGTAGCAGCTGTGGCTGAAAACTTTCAGTGGCGACTAAAAAGGTCGCCGTTAAAAGATACTTTCAGCGGCGACTTTTAGAAGTTTCAGCAGCGACAAATGTCGCCGCCGAAAACACTTTCGGCGGCGACAAAAAAGTCGCCGCAGAAAACACTTTTGGCGGCGACACTCTTGTCGCCGCTGAAAGGCTTTTCGGCGGCGACAAATGTCGCCGCCGAAAGTGTTTTCTGCGGCGACTTTTTTGTCGCCGCTGAAAGTAATGCCTAAGAAGAATTGGCTTTACCAATGCCACGTCATCACCGCCGGTGCCACGTCATCATCTCCGGCCGCCACGTCAGCACCGTCGACCTCCACGTCATCGCCATCGGCGGCCACGTCATCACCGCCGACCGCCACATCATCACTAGCCACCTCCACGTCATTGCCACGTCACTCCTCTTCGCCACGTCATCGTCTAAATATTTTCACCTTAAATGTGTCTTCTTCCAGGTTCGAACTCGTGACCGCCTCCCTTCGTGTCCAACCTTCTTGCCGCTGAGCCAGATTGAATTTGTTTATTAATATTGTAAAATAAAATATATATTATTATATTATACTTTCAGCGGCGACACAAAAAGTCGCCGCTGAAGGTCCATTTTCGGAAATTTGTTTAGTAATATTGTAAAATAAAATATATATTATTATATTATACTTTCAGCGGCGACAAAAAAAGTCGCCGCTGAAAGTCCACTTTTGGCGGCGACAAAAAAAGTCGCCGCTGAAGGTCCACTTTCGGCGGCGACAAAAAAAGTCGCCGCTGAAGGTCCACTTTCGGCGGCGACAAAAAAAGTCGCCGCTGAAGGTCCACTTTCGGCGGCGACAAAAAAAGTCGCCGCTGAAGGTCCACTTTCGGAAATTTGTTTAGTAATATTGTAAAATAAAATATATATTATTATATTATACTTTCAGCGGCGACAAAAAAAGTCGCCGCTGAAGGTCCACTTTTGGCGGCGACAAAAAAAGTCGCCGCTGAAGGTCCACTTTCGGCGGCGACAAAAAAAGTCGCCGCTGAAGGTCCATTTTCGGCAATTTGTTTATTAATATTGTAAAATAAAATATATATTATTATATTATACTTTCAGCGGCGACAAAAAAAGTCGCCGCTGAAAGTCCACTTTTGGCGGCGACAAAAAAAGTCGCCGCTAAAAGTCCAGTTTCAGCGGCGACACTTTTGTCGCCGCTGAAAGTCTTGGTTTCAATGGCGAACTTTCAGCGGCGACTAGAAAAGTCGCCACTGAAAGTCCACTTTCGGCGGCGACACTTTTGTCGCCGCTGAAAGTCTTGGTTTCAGCGGCGACTTTTTGGTGTCGCCGCCGAAAGTGGACTTTCAGCGGCGACTTTTTTTGTCGCCGCCGAAAGTCGTCGCCTAAAGTCTATTTTTTTGTAGTGTAAATGACTGTTAAAATAGATATGAATAAAGCATATGATAGGCTTGATTGGTGTTTTGTGGAAGAAGTAATGAGGAAAATGGGTTTTGGAGAGAAATGAATAGCAGGGTTTACGGAATGATAGCCTAAAATATTATGCTAGAGGATTGCCATTTCATTGCTATCACTTGTTAATTTTCATATTTCATTTCACTCATACCATTTTTATACTTGTTAATTTTCATATTTCACTTCAATGATACCATTTTTATAAACTAAAAACCCAAAATTTTTTTACTCTTATTGCATCTTTCTAAAATTTGCCAAATAGTTAATTAAAAAGAAAATCAATCATTTTCCAAGTCAATCCTCTAGAGTTTGCATACTTAGTTACTCAGGAATTTTTAGAGACTCCTTAAAATGAATATAACCTGGATTGTGCACTATATTGTCTTAATTCAGTTGATTTTGAAACGGACCTAAGATGACTAACAGTTCATTCTTCAATGGCAAGGTTCTGGAAGGATCAGAGGGAACAAGAAGGTAGAATACACTAGAAATCTTGGAAATCACTGAGGTTGGCTAAAAGTGAAGGTGGAATGGGTTTCAAAAATTAGAGTTGTTTGACAAAGCTCTCCTTGCTAATACTAGATGGAGGTTGGTCCAAAATCCAGATGCTTTTATGGTGTAGGATTTTGAAAGGTTTTTATTTTTCCGATAGTATTTTTTGCAGGCAAAGTAAGGTTGTAGATCTTCTTGGGGTTGGTTCAGCATCTTAGAAGGAACAGATTTAACAAAAAAAGATCTTTGTTAGAGAGTAGGGACTGGAGAGAGGATCAGAGTTTTTGTTGACAATTGGACTCCTGAAGCTACTGGGTATGCATTGGCTTCCAGAGATTTGGATGAAGAAAAAAAGAGTTTGACTATGAAGAGCTTAATCAGAAATAATTCTTGGTGTTTTGAAGGAACGAAAGATTGGTTCAGTGATGAAGATAAAGTTCTCATTAACTCTATTAATATTCCTAGATCGAATTTGGCAGATAAATGTCTTTGGATGATGAGTAGAGATGATAATTACTCTGTGAAGTTGGGGTATAGGGTAGCTTTGGGTAGAGAAGATGGTGGAATTGTGAAGCTGTGAAGATGTCATGCTAAACTGCGGAATTGGTTTTTGTCTTTGGTTTGTCGCAAGGGCAATAGAGCTGTTGATTGTTTGCAGCAGAGGTTTTGAAAGAAGTGCCACAAGGATGGTTTTCTGAACCACCACCCTCTTTCTAGTTCATGTTCTGCAGCATGATCTTGAGCTTTCTAATTACTACTCTTTGGCTAAGACCGGTATTGGCTAATTACTAGTTGCTTGTTGTTCTTTATTAAGACCGGTATTGGTCATTTTGAGTGCATGCTTTCTTTGGTAAGTTGTGTGTTAGGTTGTAAACGCTAAGATTTTTTTTTTTTTCCTTTCAGTGTGCGCTTTGGCTTCTGCTTTTAGTTTTTTGCGCATGGCCAATAAATTATGTGTTGCCTATGGCATTAAACTACTTGTTCGGCAAGTATTATGTGAAAAACTTTAACTTGGAAAGATTTGTTTAATTTCACAATGTGCAGAACAGTTCTTCTATTTGTTGAACAATTAAAATATCTGATATTATTCTTCATCAGTTTGAGTTATATTTTAATTTTTATTTGATTTCTGTATTATAAATTGTAATTGATTTTTCTATCTATTTAAAAAAATATTTGGTTTATTTCAAATTTTTAATTCATATGCTGCGATTTTTTAAGAAAAACATCAATATAATTTTAATCTTATTTAAATGATGGAGTTGTTACCGTGTGTTTTTGTGTGTGTAGAATTAAGAAATTATCAAATATCATACAGAAATTAAGAAAATCATAAATTATAATTAAGGTGAAGTGGAAGTCTTTGTAAAAATTTGTAAATGAAAAAATTAAGAAAATCATAAATTATAATTAAGGTAGAATGACTAGTATTTCTTTTGAAAAATAAAAGTTTTGCACTGTAATTAATGAATAAGCATTTAATTTGAAATGAACGAATTTGAAAAATAAAAAATTGAAAAAGAAGCATAAGGGATGAAAAAAATGAACTCTACAATAGAAAGGGAATAAAATAAAATTGAAGTTGCTAGGAAACAGATAAGATCTTAAAAAAAAAAAACAAAAGTACTGGCATATAATAAGTATGTATGTCCATCTGTTCATGATTGGGATTTCAGATAAAAGCAAAATCACATTGTAGAAAAAAAATATTAAATAGAAAAGAAAACATATAAGTAGGCGCATACCTGTAAATGAGTTAATATCCAAAAATAATCCTTTTAAAGATGTGCAGTTGCTTATTGATTGTGAAATGCTTCCCTCTAATTGATTGCTGTGAACATCAAGGACTTCAAGCATAGAGAGTTTATGACACATTTCTTTTGACAAATTACCCGTTAAATGATTGTTGCCAAAGTTAACAACTGTTAAAGAAGGCAAGTTCCACAGAGATGAAGGAATTTCACCTATAAATAAATACAAAATATTTGTTAATTATTTGGTAGTATGGCAAGCATGTTACTAATAAATTCACAAGTACACGAGCATATAAATACTACATGGAATTTTGGTAATTAGGTGCTTAAAATGAATAGAAAATAATTTAGTTTTTGTTGGACATTAAATTTCTTTCAAAGAAGAATTGTTGAAGATCATCGACTATGGAATTAATCTCACCTTATCTGAAATGAACATCCAAAGCATTTGAAAAGGCTCTAACTTTAAAATTTGAGAATTCATCATAGGCCAAAAAAGGGCTGAAATTTTAGTTTTTCTTTAAGAAATTAAGATACTTTTATTTACACATTTTGGAGATAAAGCATAAAATAATTAAGAATGGAATTTCACCAGTTTCAATGTAGAAGTGGATAAGATACGAGTGATATAAATGTTGATCAGAGAATTGGAAGCATCATAAAATCTTTTAAAATACAAGTCCTTTTTAAAATTATATTTTATTTCTCTTTTTAAAGACATTTTGATAATCCATAAAGTTTTTCCAGACTGGTTTTGCAGGGCTTCGTTAGTTTTTTAATGTCTGAAATTATATTTTATTCCTCTTTTGAAGGATTTCTATTATGAATGCAAACTTAGTTAGCTTCTTATGATTTTTTAACATGAATGAAAAAAATCAAAAACAAAATCTCATTTTAAAATTATTGTTTTATTCGAGATATGAAAACAAAAACAAAAACACAAAACATGGTCTAAAGACAATCATATAATTAAAATCTTTACCTTGCAAATTGTTGTCGCGAAGAATAAGGATTTCAAGGTTTGTCAAATTTCCAATCTCACTTGGAATGACTCCTGGACAAAGTATATATGAAGCCATTTTATTGATCAAAGTATACAATTGATGTGGTAGATATCAAGTGGTCCCATCAGTCCATGATCTTATTACCTTTTCTTTATTCTGGCATTGTAATATTGTTTGCATATAATATACATAAATAATAAAGAAACTTCACGTGTCTTACGTACTAATTTCAAAAACTTGAACATGTGTGCTATACTCATGAATTCATGCATAAATATTAAAAAGGGAAAAGGCAAATTTCCTCTCAAATTTCTTACCTTTTAATATTGCAAATGAGTACATTAAGTTTAAATATATAACTTTTATGCATTGCTAATTAATCATGTATGGCATAAAGCATTAGACTACTTTTTCAGCAATTTATCTCTGCATGAAGGAATTTTTTTGTTTGTTTTTGGGTGCAGTTTTAGTGAGAAATTATTAAGTATACTTTGCTGAACGAAAAAGTTTCACATAATGTTTAATGAGCCCGCATTGTTTTATGTAATTCCACCTGCTTTCTCCCTGATGTTGGTTTTTCATACTACTTTTAAATTTCAAAGTAAAATAATTATTAAGAAATTATTAGTGGATTTTTTTGTTGAAAAGATTTAGCTAATTTTATAAAGAATTGAACAAACTAAATAGTTCCACTTCAATATGAATGACTTAAATTAATACAATTTAATTATTTATCAGACTATTTAAAACATCTCGCATTCGCCAAAAGTATCAGCTCACTGTAGAGAGAAGTATCTAGAGAGAGAAAGTTAGTGAGAGAAAGTTTGAGGTGTTCCCATGATTTCTAACAAGAACTCACCCCAGAAACAACCCCCCAATGGTCCTAGTGATGGTGGTGGGGGAAGTGAACAGGGGAATAAGCACGACCCGAGAACAAACGAGAACAGGGAAGAGAGGATGGCTTTGACTGGTAACCCAGAAAGGAATATGGTGATGGAAGAGCAAAATAGAGCGGAGTCAAGAGGTAAAGTGGCCAAAAACCAGGGAATGTTTATGGGAGAAATCTCACTAAAGCTAAGGGAAGAGGAATGGATGCTACCAGAGGTCTCGGGAATAGAACAAGAGCAACCTAAACAAGTCTCGTATAGAGATATACTAAAACCTAAGGTGGATGGAGGGAAGGAACGCTCAGAGAAACATTGAGAAGAGGAACCCTGGGATGGGAGCTTGCTTGTTGGTCCGGATGATGACTTAAGCAAAGAGTTACTATCACAGATATGGAAAAAAAAAAACCAAGAATAGAATCTATAGAACAAGAGAAATGAAGACTGGAAAGGAAATGGGAAAACACACTCATTGTGAAGCTTGCGGGGGAACCCATGGGATTCATGTAGCTAAGAAGGAAATTACAAGCCCTCTAGAGCAAGACTAGTTTAGTGGAGCTCAATGACATTGGTAATGAATATATGCTGGCTACCTTCAAGGAGCTCGATGACTTTTACTATGCTCTGGAAGGGAGCCCTTGGCTGATATCAAACCAGTATCTCATTGTGCAAACATGGAAGCGAAACTTTAACCCATGGAAGGAGAAGTTGAACTGGGTAGCTGTGTGGGTAAGACTCCCAGGTCTTCCAGGTGACTAATATGATAGAAAGTTTTTCTACCATTTAGGGAACAAGATTGGGAAGGCCATCAGGGTTGATGAAATGACTCTAACAAGATCCAGAACAATGTATGCAAGGATATGTGTCTAGGTGGATCTAGAAGCCCCTCTGATGCCTTCTTATTCAATAGATGAGAATGAGCTAAAAATTGAATATGAAGGCCTACAATTAATCTGTTTCAATTGTGGCAAATTTGGCTATGAAATGGAGCACTACCCGTTTAAAGAGAACAAAGGAAGGTAACCAAGACAATGGGAAAAATCCGATGAGAAACAGTGAGAAGGAGGAAGCCAAAGTTAGCGAAAAGGTGATGGAAAAGTCAGAGGCGATGTATGGGGAGTGGATGGTTGCTCAAAATCCGAGGAAAGGGAGAAGACCCCTGAACAAAGAGAAAAAAGTCGCAGAAGTATAGCAGAAAAGTGGACAACCAAGGTCCAATATAGGAGTGAGCTCACGCTTTAGGGTCTAAGTGTAGAGGGGGAGAGAATGGAAGAGGAAGTGCAAGAAACACGATAAAGAAAGCCTTTGAGAGACCTATCAAATAAGGAGAAGGAATAGGGGGAGAGAAGTAAAGGTGCATAAAACAAGAAAAAGGGAGAGGAAAAGTTGATAAGAAAGGTGTAGAATTGAAAAGGGGAGAGAAAGGGAGAGACACCTACTGAGGAGGGAAAGGACATCAGGAAAGCGGAAGAGAAGAATGTCAGGAAAATTCAATCTGTGGGGACAAGCAGAGTGGGCCAGATAGAGAAAGAATGAGAGGACATAGAAGAAAAGAGAAATGTGGGTCAAGACAAACGTAGGCTTAGTGGGCTAAGGGAGAAGGCAGAGAGTGTTGAGATGGAAGGAGTAGAACAATTAACTATGGGCTAAGAAATAATTAATGATGAAGGGGGATTTAATAGGCCAAGACTATAGGAGAACATTGTGGAACACTTTCTTCATAGTTTATCGAACCATTTGAGTGCGATAATAGAAGTGGATGAAGATAAGCCACCAGATTCTGATAAAGGAGGTGAGTGGGTGGGCCTGTCAGAAGTGGAGTATATGGTTAGACAACATGATATGGAACTAAAACACAATGATTGCAGCACTCATAAAGGGAAGACTGGCCAGTCAAACTCGGCTTTGGCTATCAGGTACTAATTGATTCATTGGGAAGTGTTTTATTGTTGTGAACATTTATTTATGATAATTACTTGGAATGTGAGGGGAGTAGCTGGTAGAGACTCCGGGTATACTCTGAAAAAATAGAAAAGGAGATATAAGCCAAAAAATGTAGTGCTTGTGTGGAAACTAGGTGTGGTGGAGAAAAAGCCCAAAAAGTGATAAAACACTTGGGCTTCAAAAACCAATTAATTAAGGAGGCGTGTGGAATGTTTGGTGGCATATAGATCCTTGGGGATGGAGAAGAAATTAAAATTTCCACACTAAGGAGTAATAAACAATATATTCACTGCTTGATTCAGGGATAGGGGAATAGGCTTTGGATGTTTACAGCTGTTTATGCCAGTCCACGAGTGATAAAGAGAAAAAGTCTTTAGGAGGAGTTGAAGGAGATGTCTCAAACCATGTCCATTCCTTAGCTTTTGGTAAGTCATTTTAATGACATAAGATCAAAGGAGGAATAGCGGAGGGAGAAATGTGAACCACAATAAATGTAAAAGGTTCAACAAGAATATAGAAGGTTATAACCTGATTGAAGTAGGGTCAGAGGACCTAAATACACCTGGAGGGGGCCAATTATTAATCATACGAGAAGATTGTATAAGAGATTAGATAGGGCCCTTTGTAATGTTGAGTGGAGGAAATCCTTTAACGAAGCTCGTATGTAGGTTGGGTCACAAATTCAATCAGACCACCATCCACTATTGATCCACCTTTCTGTGGTTAAGGGTTCAAAGGAGGCAAGACCCTTCAGGTTTGAGGTAGTTTGGTTGCAGCATTCTGAGTTTAAAAAGCTACTAGTAACAACTTGGGAGAGGATAGGAGAAGTACGATAAACTTTGCAAGAATTAGAACTCAGACTGAAAGAGTGGAATAAGTTTGTGTTTAGGCATATAGGGAGGAAAAAGAAAGAGTTGACGAGGAGAATTGACGGGATCCAGTGGTTCCTTCAAAAATAGCGAAGTAGATATTTGGAGGATCCAGATTACCAATTGAGAGATGAACTACCGAAATATTAGCAAGAGAGGAGTTGTTATGGTTCTAAAAAGCCCGCACAAGATGGATCAACGATGGGGACCGAAAATACCTCATTTTATCATGCTAAAACAACCATTAGAAGAAGGAAGAATCATGTTCATTTGTTAAAGCACAGATGGGAAAGTATCAAAGAAGAAGAGAAAGAAGAATTGGAGGGACTGGTGTAGGATGAGGAAATTAAGGAAGCAATGTTTTCAATTGGGAGATTTAAAGCTCCGGGTGA